AAAAAAAAAAAAAAAAAAAAAAAAAAAAAAATAGCCGGGTGTGGTGGCACATGCCTATAATCCCAGCTGCTCGGGAGCCTGAGGCACAAGAATTACTTGAACCCGGGCGGTGAAGGTTGCAATGAACCAAGATCGCGCCACTGCACTCCAGCCTAGGCAACAGAGCAAGACTCCACCTCAAAAAAAAAAAAATTAGAAGTTTCGTCTCTCACCATGTTACCCAGGCTAGTCTGGAGCTCCTGGGCTCCAGTGATCCTCCTGCCTTAGCCTCTAAAAGTACTTGGGATTACAGGTGGAAGGTATCATGCCCAGCCTGGATGTTGTTTATTTTGTGAGTAGTTACTACGTACATAAAAGAGCACAAATCCTAAATATTCTGCCTGTTGGATTTTCACCAAGTGGACACACCTGTGTAATCACACCCAGATCAAGAAACAGAATATTACCAACACTGCAGACGCTTCCAGCCATTAGTCCCAGCTGCACCCCACGGATAGCCACATACCTGGCCCTTAACACCATAGATTTGATGCACCTGGTTTTTGAACTTTATGTAAAGGTACCGCATGTCTACCTCTTTTGTTCAACATTATGTAAAATTCACCCATACTGTACATGTTATTTTATACTTTTGTCTCTTTTTCCCCCGGAGACAGGGTCTCCCTGTGTTGCCCAGGCTGGTCTTGAACTCCTAGGCTCAAGTGGCCCTCCTGCCTCGGCTTTCCAAAGTGCTGTGATTATAGGTGTGAGCCACAGCGCCCAGCACATTCTCCTTGCTTTTGTCCCACGTGTGAACATGCCACAAACAATCTATCCATTCCACTGTTGATGGGCATTTGGGTTATGAGACATTATGACTAATATTTGCTGGATGCTGTGTCCCCAGGACATCTGTACTTCTGATGGACTGGATACAAATCTGGGAGATGCCCAGGCATTTATCCTGATTTAAGGCCAAGGAAACCTGACACTCAAAAAGATTGAGCCATTGGGCGAAGGACCCAGAATAACTAGATTTGAATCCAGCTCCTCACGTCATACCACAGCATTACCTCCCAGATGAATTCAGAAAGCGCATTGAGCTAAAACTCTTGGCCAGATGCGGTGCTTCACACCTGTAATCACTCTCGGCACTTTGGTAGGCTGGGGTGGGTGCATCACTTGAGGTCAGGAGTTTGAGACCAGCCTGGCCAAAAATGGTAAACCCCAACCCCAATAAAAAAACCCCCCCCCCAAAAAAAAAAAAAGAAAAAGAAAAAATTAGCTGAGCATGGTAGTTTGCTTCTATAGTCCCAGCTACCTGGGAGGACAGGCAAAGAATCACTTGAACCTGGGCGGCGGAGGCTGCAGTGAGCCAGATCATGCTATTACACTCCATACGGGGTGACAGAGCGAGACCCTGTCTCAAACAAAACAGAACAAAACGAAACAAAAAACTCTCTTTGCCTCTCAGGTACCAGATGAGGTGGAAAGGAGAGTAGGCGTTTCTGTTAAACTAACTCTACATGCTATATGTAGACTCCAGCGATGATTTCAAGCCTCTGGACGCCATCAGGTAAATGTGTGCCCTGCTGGACTTTTGTGGAGTTGACAGTCTTCCAACATCACCACCTATTCTGACAGTTTAGAGACAGCTCAGTGCCTGGAGTACTGCAACTCACTTCTGACACTAAACACCCACGGTGATGAGCATCGGCTCCACAGCTTTAAGAATACCGGCCTTAAGAAGACTTCCCCACCGCAGACACCACCCCACAAGCAGGGTCCCCAGACATCTGCACCTCTGACAGACTGAGTAAAAGTCAGGAAGATTCCCGGGAACCCCATCAGGCTTCACAGTTCACTAGAATGACTCAGAACTCAGGAAAGCACTACACATACAGTTACAGTTCAATTACAAAGGACACAACAAGAACAGCAGAGTAAGGAGCCACCTGGGGAGAGGCCTAGGAGGTCCTGGATGTGGACCTTCCCGGCCCTCTCCTTGTGGAATCGGGATGCAGCGCCCTCCTAGCACACTGATGTGTTAACCAACCTGGAAGCTCCACCGAGCTTGGGGTTGCACTGTGTAGGCACGATTGATTCATGATTGGCCACCGTCTCCTTATGCTCTACGGCGCCCCACCCCGGCCTCCGCGGAGTTCCGGCTGGATCAAACCCCAGCCCTCCAATCACATGATTGGTCTTCCTAGGGCCGGCCCCATCCTGAATCCTCTGCCTTTAGCATACACTCAGGTTGTTTCAAAGGGGCCCACGAATAACAAAGACATTCCTATTGCTGAGAAAATTCTGAAGATTTAGAGACTCTCTCCCACAAACAAGGGTTGGCAAATTGTTTATTATACAATCTTGTGTCTCGTAGGGTTTGTCCTGCCGTGGGACCACCCTGGTGTCATTTTTTCTAACAGAAGTGCCTGAGCCTCACTCAGTGGCTGTGGTTATGCTTGCTCTTCTTGGCCGACCGGCCTTCCCACCCAAATTCACATGTGGAATTCTCAGCCCCAGTACCTCACTATGTGATTGTATTTAGAGACAGGGGCTTTAAAGAGGTAAGGTAAGGCCAGGCGTGGTGGCTCACGCCTGTAATCCCAGCACTTTGGGAGGCTGAGGCGGGCAGATCACGAGGTCAGAAGTTCAAGACCAGCCTGACCAACATGGTGAAACCCCCTGTCTACTAAAAATACAAAAATTAGCCAGGTGTGGTGGCTCACACCTGTAATCTCAGGTACTCGAGAGGCTGAGGCAGGAGAATCGCTTGAACCTGGGAGGCAGAGGTTGTGGTGAGCCAAGATTGCGCCATTGCACTCTAGCTTGGGCAACAAGAGCAAAACTCCATCTCAAAACAAAAAAAGAGAGAGAGAGAGAACGTAAAATGAGATCATGTGGGTGGGTCTGAGTCCAGTGTGGCTGGTGGCCTTGTAAGCAGAGGCAATTAGGACACAGTCACCATGAGTGACTGTGTGTGGAACAGCAAGAAGGCACCCGCTGCAAGCCAAGGGTAGAGGCCTCGGGAGAAAATGACCTGCCGGCATGTTGTTCTTTTACTTCCGGTCTAGCACAGTGAACAAATACATTTCTGCCGGTTAAACCACAGTAGCAAACAAGTGCACCTGTCTGATCCAACATCAGTGTTGTCCTGTCAGCTTGCCTCATATTTGCCGGATGCTGTGGGCCCAGCACTGGGTGCCTGTGAACACCAGCTCAGCATTGGTTCAGGAGCTGCCCTCCCACGGGGCCGTGAGTTGGATCACATTTCTCACGTTGCCCTGTTTTACCTCCATTTTCACTGGGCTTTTTTGGTTTTACTTTTTAGACAGCTACTCCCCCTAATTAGTTTGACTATCCCAAAATTTGATTTTTCATTTTATTTATTTATTTATTTATTTATTTAGAGATGGAGTCTCACTGTCACCCAGGCTGCAGTGCAGGAGCGTAATCTCGGCTTACTGCAACCTCTGCCTCCTGGGTTCAAGTGATTCTCCTGCCTCAGCCTCCCAAATAGCTGGGATTACAGGCATGTGCCACCCGCCTGGCTAATTTTTGTTTTTTTTACTTTTTGTTTTTTGAGACAGAGTCTCTCTCTATCTTGCTTGGCTAGAGTGCAGTGGTGCAATCCTGGCTCACTGCACTCTCCGCCTCCTGGGTTCAAGCAATTCTCCTGCCTCAGCCTCCTGAGTAGCTGGGGCTACAGGCACGCACCCCCAGGCCTGGCTAATTTTTTGTATTTTTAGTAGAGATGGGGTTTCACCATGTTGGACAGGATGGTCTCCATCTCTTGACCTCATGATCCACCCACCTCAGCCTCCCAAAGTGCTGGGATTACAGGCGTGAGCCACCGCGCCTGGCCTTTTTGTATTTTTTTTAGAGATGGAGTTTCACCATGTTGTCCAGGCTGGTCTCGAACTCCTGACCTGAGGTGATCCGCCTGCCTCAGCCTCCCAAAGTGCTGGGATTACAGGCGTAAGCCACTGTGCCCGGCGCCCACAATTTATTTATAAGTGAAAGGAGCAAGTAAGGGTTGTTGCTGTCGCCTGCCCTTGCCTTGTGCCTTCAATACATCCCCTGCCTCCAACTTAGCTCCAGAGTCCGGAGCGCAGAGCACCCTGCCCCTCCTTCCAGAGCCCTTCAGGGCAGGAAGTCTGGCAGGAAGACAGGTTCTCACACAGGCACCGCATCTCTTCCTGGAGCTGTCCTTTTTGTTTTTAGAGATGGGGTTTCACTCTCTTACCCAGGCTGGAGTGCAGTGGCACAATGATAGCTCACTGCAGCCTCAAACTCCTGGGCTAAAGCAATCTTCCCGAGTAGCCGGCACGGTTGTGATATTTCGTCTCCGTTACCACCCACACCCATTTTTCAGGTGCAAATACTGAGACTCACTGCAGTGAATTGACTTGCCCCAAGTCATACAACTAATATAATGGCAGAGATGGGACTTTGACATTGGATCTCCACAAAGCCCTTGTTTGTGGCCATTATTCTGTTTCCTTCTGTCTCTTTAAAATTGTTCCTATGCCCTATGGTGGGCATGGTGGCTCGCACCTGTAATCCCAGCACTTTAGGAGACCAAGGTGGGCAGATCGCTTGAGCCCAGGAGTTCAAGACCAGCATGGACAACATAGCAAAATCCCATCTCTACAAAAAATTTTTAAAAATAGCCAGATTTGTTAGTGCATGCCTGTGATCCCAGCTACTCAGGAGGCTGAGATAGGAGGATCACTTGAACCTGGGAGGCAGAGGTTGCAGTAAGCCACTTCAGTCTGGGTGACACAACCAGATCCTGTCCTTAAAAAAAAAAAAAAAAGAGGCGGCTCTCATGGAGGCAGCTAGGGCGAGGCTGGGGAGCGCTGAGCAGCGCGTCGTGCCCTGTGCTGCCCAGACTAGCGAACAATACAGTCAGGATGGCTAAAGGTGACCCCAAGAAACCAAAGGGCAAGATGTCTGCTTATGCCTTCTTTGTGCAGACGTGCAGAGAAGAACATAAGAAGAAAAACCCAGAGGTCCCTGTCAATTTTGCAGAATTTTCCAAGAAATGCTCTGAGAGGTGGAAGACAATGCCCGGGAAAGAGAAATCTAAATTGGATGAAATGGCAAAGGCGGATAAAGTGTGCTGTGATCGGGAAATGAAGGATTATGGACCAGCTAAGGGAGGCAAGAAGAAGAAGGATCCTAATACCCCCAAAAGGCCACCGTCTGGCTTCTTCCTGTTCTGCTCAGAATTCTGCCCCAAGATCAAATCCACAAACCCTGGCATCTCTGTTGGAGACGTGGCAAAAAAGCTGGGTGAGATGTGGAATAACCTAAATGACAGGGAAAAGCAGCCTTACATCACTAAGGTGGCAAAGCTGAAGGAGAAGCACGAGAAGGATGTTGCTGACTATAAGTCGAAAGGAAAGTTTGATGGTGCAAAGGGTCCCGCTAAAGTTGCCGGGAAAAAATCGGAAGAGGAAGATGAAGAAGACAAGGAGGAGGAGGAGGAGGAGGAGGAGGAGGAGGAGGAGGAGGAGGAGGAATAAAAAAACTATTTATCTGTCTCCTTGTGAATACTTAGAGTAGGAGAGTGCCGTAATTGACACATCTCTTACTTGAGAAGTGTCTGTTGCCCTCATTAGGTTTAATTACAAAATTTGATCACGATCATATTGTAGTCTCTCAAAGTGCTCTAGAGATTGTCAGTGGTTTACATGAAGTGGCCATGGGTGTCTGGAGCACCCTGAAACTGTATCAAAGTTGTACACATTACCAAACATTTTTAAAATGAAAAGGCACTCTCGTGTTCTCCTCACTCTGTGCACTTTGCTGTTGGTGGGACAAGGCGTTTAAAGATGTTTCTGGCATTTTTTTAATTTGTAAGGTGGTGTTGACCATATGGTTATTGGCTAGAAATCCTGAGTTATCAACTGTATATATCTATAGTTTGTAAAAATAACAAAACAACGAAGACAAACTCTTGATGTTCCTTGCCTGGCGTTGAGGCTGCGGGAAAGATGCCTTTTGGAGGGGCTGTGGCTCAGGGCGTGCACTGTGAGGCTGGACCTGCTGACTCTGCAGTGGGCATCCATTTAGCTTCAAGTTGTCTTGTTTCTGTGTATAGTGATATAGCATTCTGCTACCATCTTAGCTGTGGACAAAGGGGGTCAGCTGGCATGAGATGTTTTTGTTTTTTGTTTAAGTGTGGTAGTTTTTAAACTGTTTTTAAACAAACTGTAGAACTCTTCATTGTCAGCAAAGTGAAGAGCCGCTGCATCAATGAAAGTTCAAGAACCTTCTGTACTTAAACACGATTTGCAACGTTCTGTTATTTTTTTTGTATGTTTAGAATGCTGAAATGTTTTTGAAGTTAAATAAACAGAATTACATTTTTAAAACTGTTCTCTTTTATAACAGTCCATTTCTGACTCACAGCAGAGAACAAACCCCCACTCCGTTGTATTTGGAGACTGGCCTCCCTGTGAATGTGGTAGCTTCCTTTATTACTCAGTGGCCAGCTCACTTAGGGCTGAGATGAAGGAGAGGACTACTTGAAGCTACTGCGTGCTTTTGTTTGTGTCTGAGTGGCATTAAGATGAAGTCTGGAGGAGCTAAGAGAAGGACATAGGCGAGGTTCAACAGCCTTCCAAGGTACAGGAAGGTGGATGATGAGGACGAAGGCTGACTGACTAGGTTTAACTTCCCTTGTTCCACTTCCACCCCCTATTTTGTGTGCCAAATGTATTGCTAAATAGCAATTTCAGACCATCTGACCTTTCAAAAATTCAGGCCTTAGTTTTCCTCTTTCACACCTACCCCTGTGCTCCTGGTACATGTTATTTGTGGTGCCAAACATTTGGGGTCTTGAGCCTGCTGCTTGTCTCCTGGGCACCAGTGAAGTGAGGGTATGTGGGATGGGTTGGTGGGGTAGGAGACAGTACCCATGTTGTTCCTACTTCTTCAAAACTCCAAACCCCCAAGGAAGATTGTAGGCTCTATCTTGGGCCACCTGAGATATAGGGCAGGCTAATAGAATCAACCATTTCTAAGCACTAAATGTATCATGAAAAGTTGAATGGCCTACTCACAAGATTAGCTCATTCACTGGAAATGTAGATTGATGTTCAATGTTTTTAACCTGGAAGAAGCTTGGTTTGTGTGTCAGTGGTTGTATTAGTGGGTAGTGTAACATTTTCTCCAGGCTGGAGTGAGGGGAGATGGCCTCAATGGCAAGTGGTGACACTAAATGCCATTTTGAAGGCTGATGTGTACCTACATCATTACTGTCTGTAGCAATGAAGGATACGGTACTGTGTTGTGGGTGAGTGTCGCTATTGCCCAGCATTAATATTTGGGTGTGGATGTTTGAGGCTATGAGACATGCAGGAGTGTTTTTGTGGTATTTTAAGAGAAAGCTTTTTCTTAAAATTCATTGTTCAGAAACTTGCATTTCTGGAGGTGGTGTCCTCTCCATCCTGTCGGGTCCTGGATGAGTACAAGTTATGGTCATGGTCACAGCCTGATCTCTATGTATTCATAGCCATTCCGTCTCCCATCAGAACTGTTTGTCCTGAATGTGTTCTCTAGTTCTAGAAAATGACCACTAATTTAAAAAACTTGGCTGTGAGGTTTGCCCAGAGGCACTTGTTCTGGAATTGCCCCTCCTGCTTAAGCCGTGTCCTTGTCACTTGGCATTCTAAGCTAAAGCTTCTGCTTCCCAAACCATGATGTGCTAGGCCAAGATCTGGGAGCTGTGGCCAGCCTTGTCAAATGTGGAAGAGAAACAACCTGTAGTAAAAAAGTGATTTGTTAAGTGGTGCCTGTCTACCTTGTAACTAGACATACCAACCAGGGAAGGGCAAAGGATGGAAAGGTGTAACTTGTGCTTCCAAAGTAGCTAAGCAGAAGTAGGGAAGCAGTTTAGCCAAATGATTTTTGATTAGGCAAACACTGAGTTTTAAAGAGACTGTCAAGTTGAGGCCACTTGGTTCATTAGCTGGTGCAGCCAAGACCACTACCCAGCATTTTCATACTGTCACAAAATTGCTCCTCTAATGGAATAATGCCCTAGTTTCTCTTGAGATGCTGTAAGTGGCATGTTACCTAAGGCATAGGCTTAGCTTGATTGCTGGGCTCACTGTGTTCTTAAGATGCCAAACTGTTGCTTTTTTTTTCCCCCCCATTTAAAATGATAGTACCTGTTCCCTCTAACCACCTCACCCCATTCTTGAATGACATTTTATCCTTTGGAAAGAACAAGGCTGTGATGAAGTGACTATTGTCCATGTCTCCTGTGTGTGTCTGTTCTTGTCACAAATGTATTTGGGGACATTGGATGCATTCAGTTTTCTGTAATAAAGTTTCTTAATCACTCTTCCCAAAAAAAAAAAAAGGGTATATATGCCTCTTTTCTTTTCTTTCCTTTTTTTTTTTTTTTTCGAGACGGAGTCTCGCTCTGTCTCCTAGGCTGGAGTGCAGTAGTGCAATCATGGCTCACTGCGACCTCCATCTCCCAGGTTCAAGCGATTCTCCTGCCTCAGCCTCTCGAGTAGCTGGGATTACAGGTGTGTGCCACCACACCCGGTTAATTTTTGTATTATTGGTAGAGACAGGGTTTCACCACATTGGCCTCACTGGTCTCGAACTCCTGACCTCAGTTGATCTGCCCGCCTCGGCTTCCTGAAGTGCTGGGATTACAGGTGTGAGCCACTGCGCCCAGCCATAGATGCCTTTTTTCATAGTTGTGATCAAACTGTATATAAATTTTTTAATTCTTTCTTAACCTTACATCAAAGACATGGTTTTCCATATCATAGAACGAGCCTTTCCACCATAATTTTTGATGGCTGAATAAATGTGATGGAGGGAACACTTTAATATCCTTGAGGGTTTTTTATTATGTTTTTTACTTTGGGGCTTTATTCCTCTCTCCCTTTTGTTAGCTGACTCCTTTACGGTTAAGGGGAAGCTCAGCCGTGTAGTTTTTCTTGAACTTGAGAGATTGTTTGGGTGTATTCTGGGGTTCCCTTCTCATCCAATAATAGCCAGGCCAACGTGGGAAATGGCTGGCAGGCAGAGCAGGACGCACACAGGATGACATCCTCTGCTGATATGATAGTGTGCACCCTGGGGGCTTTCAGATTGATATGTGTGTCATTTATCACTATTCCAGGACATTGGGCACCAGGCCAGCCTTCCCGCCACAGGACATAGGAACGATTTCTCAGGAGCCCCCAGGTGCAGGAGAGTGAGAAGCCACACCCCTCCCCCTTTTCTTCTCAGGAGGCTTGACTCTTAGGTGTTCACCTTGGGAATCCACAGAAGAGGGTTTTGATTCTCTGGAGTTAAAAACCCTAAATTTAATCCAATTCCTTTCTTCTACAAATGAGGAGACTGAGACCAGAGTTGGAAAGAGTCTTATTTGAAGGCAAAGCAACAAAGCTCGGGCACAAATCCAGGCCTCCTGATGTGAAGGCCAGAGCAGTCTGTGCCAGAGCTGAAATTTCCCAGGAGTTCTGGAAGCAAGGCTTCCAGAGAATGACCGTCATTGTCAGACCTTGAGGATGTGTTCTAAATACAGTATCGGGGAAATTAAATGGGAGTGCAGAATGGAGAGTCACAAGTCTAGAAGGAGGGTCTCTTCTCCGTAGCTGACAGGGATCTTTTTCATTTCCAAAGCTGTCTTAGCCATCCCGGGCTGCTATGACAGAATCCACAGACTGGATGATGAAACAACAGGCATCTGTTTCTTGAGGTTCTGGAGGCCAGCAGTCCAAGATCAGGGCGCTGGCCAACTCGGCTCTGCTGCGGACCCTCTTCCTGGCTTGCTGATGGCAGCCTTTGCCCTGTGTGTCCCTGTGAGGACGGGGCAGGACTGGGGTGGGGAGGGGACAAGAGAGAAACAGAGAGATATTCCTTCCTCTTATTCTTTTTTTTTGAGATGGAGTCCCACTTTGTCACCCAGGCTGGAGGGCAGTGGTAAGATTCCTGCTCACTGCAGCCTCTGCCTCTGTGGTTTGAGTGATTCTCCTGCCTCAGGCTCCCGAGTAGCTGGGGCGCCATCACTCTTGGCTAATTTTGTGTTTTTAGTAGAGACAGGGTTTCCCCATGTTGGCCAGGCTGGTCTCGAACTCCTGACCTCAGGTGATCCACCCACCTCACCCTCCCACAGTGCTGGGATTACAGGTGTGACCCACCGTGCCCATTCACCCCTTCCTCTTCTCATAAGGCTACAGTCCTGTCAGATTAGAGCTCCACCCTGATGGCCTCATTTAACCTTAATTATCTCCTGAAGATCCTTCCTCCAGATACAGTTACATTGGGAGGTAGGGCTTTAACCGACAGACTGTGTGGTGCCGAGAAGACATAATTCCATCCATAACAGCAGCTCATGCTTCTCAAACCTTGGTGGCTTTAGAATCCCCTGGACAGGCCAGGCATGGTGGCTCACGCCTATAATTCCAACATTTGGAGAAGCTGAGGTAGGTGGATTGCTTGAGCCCAGGAGCTCAAGACCAGCCCGGGCAACATGATGAGACCCTGTGCCTATAAAAAATTATACACACACACACACACACACACACACACACACACACACACACACGTTTTCGCCAGGCGCAGTGGCTCACGCCTGTAATCCCAGCACTTTGGGAGACCCAGGCAGGCAGATCACGAGGTCACAATGTCAAGAGATCGAGACCATCCTGGCCAGCCTGGTGAAACTCTGTCTCTACTAAAAATACAAAAATTAGCCAGGTGTGGTGACGCGTGCCTGTAGTCCCAGCCACTCGGGAGGTTGAGGCAGGAGAATTGCTTGATCCCAGGAGGTGGAGGTTGCAGTGAGCCGAGATCGCACCACTGCACTTCAGCCTGGCCACAGAGTGAGACTCCATCTCAAGAAAAAACAAAAAAAGAAGGGAGTTCTGATGCATGCTCCAATATGGATGAAGCAGAACCTTGAGGACATTATGCAACATGAAATAAGCATATGATTCCACTTTGTGAGATCCCTAGTGCCGTCAAATTTGCAGAGACAGAAAGCAGATGGTGGCTGTCAGAGGCTGGGGGCCTGGGGACAGGGAGTTAGTGTCCCATGAGTATAGAGTTTCTGTTTCACAAGAGGAAAGGAGATCTGAAGACAGAGGGTGGTGATGGTTGCACAACACTGTAAATGTGCTTTATGCCACAAAACTGTACACTTAAGAACAGTGAAGATGGGCCAGGAGTGGTGGCTCACACCTGTAATCCCAGCGCTTTGGGAGGCCGAGGATAACCTGAGGTCAGGAGTTCGAGAACAGCCTGGCCAACATGGTGAAACCCCATCTCTACTAAACATACAAAAATTAGCCAGGCATAGTGGTACATGCCTGTAGTCCCAGCTACTCAGGAGGATGAGGCAGGAGAATTGCTGGAACCCAGGCGGCAGAGTCTGCAGTGAGCTGAGATCACGCCACTGCATTCTAGCCTGGGCAACAGAGCAAGACTCCACTTCAAAAAAAAAAAAAAAAAAAGTTAAGATGGTATATTGTACAGCGTTTTTAATCACAATTTAAAAAAATCTAATTGTGAAGACTGGATTGAAATACAAACTCAGTGGAAAGCAATGTAAAATGATAGGTAATTAAGTAACAAATTGGGAAGTTACTTAGAGAACAGAGATGGCAATGTTAGTTGATCATTGGGATAGATTTGAAGCAGAGGTAAAAATTGAGTTGGACCTTGAAAGATGATGGTAGTTACACATCTATAATAATATATATCACTATCAGTAACAGACAGGCTTGCTACAAGAAAATCATGTGTATTAGGGAATGGGGCATTGCAGCGGGAATGCACGTGCCATAGGAAACTATGCACATATCCAGGGAGGTGAAGGAAGACAATTACCATGCTTTTAAGGAAAGATGATGATTACACAATTGCCTTGGGCTCATGATCCTTGGCTGTGAGGATTAATAGCAGGGTGGCACCAGTGCAAGGCTGCACAGGCAGCTGCTGGCTTGATGTCCCTGCAGAAGTACCTCACGTGGAAGACTGCAACGGTCTTTGTGCAATGCTGTGGTTTTTGCAGTCTTTTTTTCTTAAAAAACAAAAAAGAGATGAGGTCTCACCATGTTGCCCAGGCTGGTCTCACACTCTGGCCTTCAAGTGATCCTCCCACCTCAACTTCCCAAAGTGCTGGGATTACAGGTGTGAGCCACGGTGCTCCGCCTTGGGGAATCTTTTGTGAGACTTTTTGTTATCAGGAAGACAAGCCACAACCCTCTCTTCACAGCCTTCTCTGATTCTATGTGTCAGGGTTTTCTAAAACACAGGTGACTTCATTTTTATCGTGACAACTTTCACAGTACTAAAATCAGTATTAATAATAGAAAGCATAAAGTGTCAATGTTTATAATCTTCTTTAAAAAGCCTTTTGATTGATGGCCAGGTGCAGTGGCTCGCACCTGTAATCCAGTACTTTGGGAGGCTGAGGCAGGCAGATCACCTGAGGTCAGAAGTTTGAGACCAGCCTGGCCAACATGGTGAAACCCTATCTCTACTAAAAATACAAAAATTAGGTGGGTATGGAGGCACGTTGGAGGTTGCAGTGAACCGAGAATGTGCCACTGCACTCCAGCCTGGCAACTAAGTGAAACTCCGTCTCAAAAAAAAAAAATTAGCCAGGCATGGTGGTGGGTTCCTGTAGTCCTACCTACTCAGGAGGCTGAGGCAGGAGAATTGGTTGAACCCAGGAGGCAGAGGTTCTAGTCTGCTGGGGTCATGGCCCTGCACTCCAGCCTGGCCAACAGAGCGAGACTCCATCTCAAAAACAAAAGCCTTTTGAATTACTGAATCAATAAACAAGCAGATGCTGAAACATATCTTCAATCTTGCCTCTTTTACTGTAATAAAGGAATTCAAGGGGTATTTATCTATTTATTTTGAAGCACGGTCTCACTTTGTGCCCCAGCCTGGAGTGCAGTGGTGCAATCATGGTTCACTGCAGCCTGGAACTCCGAGGCCCACGCAACTCTTCAACCTCAGCATCCTCTGGTAGCTGAGACTACAGGTGCACACCACCATGCCCGGCTCATGTTTGAATTTTCTGTAGAGATAAGGTCTCGCTATGTTGCCCATGCTGGTCTCAAACTCCTGGGCGCAAGCTACCCGCCTGCCTCAGCCTCCAAAAGTGCTGGGATTATAGGCCTGAGCCACAGCACTAGCCAGGGGATTTATTTTTTTAGAATCACTTCTTTTATAATTATTCGATAAGGTCTTTAATTAGGATACCTTGGGACACTTTCCTCCCCCTGCTAAGGTTCCTGAAATAGCTCAAGAAAAGCGTCCCTTTGTAACAAGAATTTGAGGAGTAACTCTCTGCTAAAGTAGTTGAAGTCTGTGGGACTTAAGTATAAAATCCGCTGATACAGCTTGTTATAATACAGCCGTTTTAGGGGTGTCAAGGAGGAAAAACTTTCCTTTCTTCTTAGGTTCAGTGTCTGCTGGCCTGTGGATTAAAATAACAAAAGGCAGATTAACAGGAAAAAAGGCACATCGTTTTTATTAATATTGTGTAAGGGAATTAACAGAAGTGAAACTCAAAGAAGTGGTTATACTGGAGGCTTCATACCCTTTTAACAGGGGAAAGAAGATTTGGCCTTCAAGGCACGATAAGCTGTGGGAAAGTGACCAGGAAATAGATGAGGGAATTAAAGGAAGTTAAGGGCTTATTTACTTATTTAGAGATGAAGCTTCGCTCTTGTTGTCCAGGCTGGAGGGCAACGGCACCACCATCTCGGCTCACGGCAATCTCCGCCTACAGGCTTCATGCGATTCTCCTGCCTCAACCTCCCGAGTAGCTGGGAGTTCAGGCATGAGCCACCATGCCCAGCTAATTTTGTATTTTTAGTAGAAATGGGGTTTCTCCATGTTGGTCAGACTAGTCTCGAACTCCTGACGTCAGGTGGTCTGCCTACCTCGGCCTCCCAAAGTGCTGGGATTACAAGTGTGAGCCATCGCGCCTAACAAGGGCTATTATAATAAGGTCTGTTTATTTAAACTCATCTTGGTGTTAATTAATTTCCTGCCCTCAGTGCTAAGAATTCCTCTGGTCTCCCTGGTACAAAGATGGGGCTGGGCGGCCTCACAATTTATATGGCTGCTCCAACCTGACACCAATGCAAACTTCTTTTTTTTTATTTTGCTTTTTGCTAAGATTTTTTTTTTCACTTTTTATTTTGAAATAATTATGGATTCACTGAAAGTTGCAAAGAAATAGCATTTTTTGTTGGTCCCATGGACCAACCCACTTTCTCCCATTGGTTATATTTTCCATAACTATATCAAAAGCAGGAAATTGACACTGGCAGAAAGAGTATGTGTAGTTCAGTGTAATTGCAACACATAGGTACGTCAGCGTGACTACCACCACAGCCAAAGATCTCCCTTGAGTAATGCCTCTACGGTCACACCTATACCCTCTTCTCCCTACCATCCCTAATTCCTGGCAACCACTAATCTGGTCTCCATTAATTTTGTCCTTTCAAGAATATTATATAAAGGAAATTACACCCTATGGGTGGAGATGTGCTTTTTCACTCAGCTTAAAGCCCTTGAGATCCATCCAAGTTGTTGGGTTTATCAAGAGTTTATTCCTTTATGTTGCTGAATAGTATTCCATGGTGTGGATATACCGGCTTGTTTAACCACTCACCTGTTGATGGACATCTGGGCCATTTCCAGTTTTCCGCTATTGCAAATAAAGCGGCTATGAACAATTATGTAAGGGTTTCTCCGTAGACATAAGTTTTCACTGCTTTGCGGTCTAAGTGTCCAGAGGTGCAACTGCCAGGTCATATTGTAGTGTATGTTCAGGTTTTAAGAAAATGTTGGCCGGGCACGGTGGCTCACATCTATAATCCCAGCACTTTGGGAGGCCAAGGAGGGTGCATCACCTGAGGTCAGGAGTTTGAGACCAGCCTGGCCAACATGGTGAAACTTTGTCTCTACTAAAAATACAAAAATTAGCTGGGTATGATGGTACGCACCTGTAGTCCTAGCTACTTGGGAGGCTGAGACAGGACAATTGCTTGAACCTAGGAGGTGAAGGTTGCAGTGAGCCAAGATCGCGCCATTGCACTCCAGCCTGGGCAACAGAGCAAGACTCCATCTCAAAAAAAGAAAAAAGGCCAGGTGAGGTGGCTCACACCTGTAATCCCAGTACTTTGGGAGGCCGAGGCAGGCGGATCACAAGGTCAGGAGTTCGAGACCAGCCTGGCCAGCACGGTGAAACCCCATCTCTACTAAAAACACAAAAAATTAGCTGGGCATGGTGGCGTGCACCTGTAGTCCCAGCTACTTGAGAGGCTGAGGCAGGATAATTGCTTGAACCCGGCAGGTGGAGGTTGCAGTGAGCTGAGTTTGCACCACTGCACTCCAGCCTGGGTGACAGAGCAAGACTCCATCTCAAACAAAACAACAACAACAACAACAACAACAACAACAACAAACGGCTGGCTGGGCAAAGCGGCTCATGCCTGTAATCCCAGCACTTTGGGAGGCCGGAAGTTTGAGGCCAGCCTGGGAAAGTGAGGCCTCATCTCTACTAAAAATTTAAAAATTAGCCAGGTGTTGTGGCCCACACCTGTAGTCCCAGGTACTCAGGAGGCTAAGGCAGAAGGATCACTTAAGCCCAGGAGTTCAAGGCTGCAGTGAGCTGTGATCAAGCCACTGTATTCCAGCCTAGGGGACAGATCGGGACGCTGTCTCTAAAAAAAAGGCTGGGTGCACTTTAGGAGGCCGAGGCAGGTGGATCACATGAGGTCAGGAGTTCCGGACCAACCTGGCCAACACAGCGAAACCTCGTTTCTGCTAAAAACACAAAAATTAGCGGGGTAAGGCAGCACGTACCAGTTATCCCAGCTACTCGGGAGGCTGAGGAAGGAGAACTGCTTGAATCCGGGAGGCTGAGGTTACAGTGAGCCCAGATCACACCACTGCACTCCAGCCTGGGAGACAGACACTCTGTCTCACAAAAAAAAAAAACAAAAAAACAAAAAAACAGGCAAACAATTTTCCGAAATGGTTGAACCATCTTACATTCTCATCAGCTATCTATGAAGGGTTCAGTTTCTGCACATCCTTGCCAACACTCAGTATCACCAACGTTATTTCAACTGTTCTGAAAGGTGTGTAGTAACATCTCAGTGTGATCTTAATTTGCATTTTGCTAATTGCTAGTGAAGCAATTTTCACGTGCTTAATTTCCTTCCATATATCCTCTTCAGTGAAATGTCTCTCCAAGCCTTTTGTCCATTCCCTAATTGGGTCACTTGTTTGTTTTTTACTGTTTTGAGAGTTCTTTATATATTGTAGATATGTGTCCTTTATCGGTATTTTCTCCGTCTGCAGCCTGTATTTGTGTCCTCCTTAAGGGAATTTCACAGAGCAAAAGTTTTGATGAGGTCCCACTTAATGATTTTTTTTTTTTTTCTGTTGTGAATTGTGCTTTTGGCATCATGTCTAAGAACTATTCACCAGGCTACATGTCCTGGAAACTTCCTGCTACATTTTTTTTCCTAAAAGTTTCATAGTTTTGCTTTTTACATTTAAAATTACAATCCATTTTGAATTATTACAAAAGGTGTAAGGTTTAGGCCAGAGGTTTTGTTTTCCCCCTGTGGATTTCTAATGGCTCCAGCATTATTTGTTGAAAAGACTCTCTTTTTGGTGGTGTGCGGTGGCTCATCCTTGTAATCCCAAGGACTTTGGGAGGCTGAGGTAGGCAGATCACCTGAGGTTGGGAGTTTGAGACCAGCCTGGCCAACATGGTGAAACCCCATCTCCCTTAAAAATACAAAAAAATAGCCAGGCGTGGTGGTGGTGCCTGTGATCCCAGCTACCTGGGAGGCTGAGGCAGGAGAATTGCTTGAACCTGGGAGGTGGAGGTTGCAGTGAGCTGAGATGGTGCAGCTGCACTCCAGCCTGAGCAACAAGAGCGAAACTCCACCTCTAAATCAATCAATCAATCAATCTCTAGACATTGAACAGTTTTTGCACCTTTATCAAAAAACAATTGGTAGCCAGGCACGGTGGGTCATGCCTATAATCCCAGCACTTTGGGAGGCCAAGGCAGGCAGATCCCTTGAAGACAGGAGTTCGAGACCAGCCAAGCCAACGTGGGGAAACCACGTCTGTACTAAAAACAGAAAAAATAGCTGGGTGTGGTGGTGTACCTCTGTAGTCCCAGCTACTTGGGTGGTTGAGGCAGGACAATCACTTGAGTCTAGAAGCTAGAGGTTGCAGTGAGCTGAGATCGTGCCACTGCACTCCAGCCTGGGTGACAGAGGGAGACTCTGTCTCAAAACAAAGAAACAACCCCCCTGCCTCAAAAAACGAATTGGCTGCACTAGCATGGGCTCTCTCTGAGCTCTATTCTGTGATCTCTGTGTCTGTCACTCAGCCAATACTATACAGTCTTGCCTGCCATAGCTAGAGTGAGACTTAATATCAGGTAGAGTGAGTCTTCCCACTGTTCTTTTTTTTTTTTTTTTTTTTTCCAAAATTGTCTTAGCTATTATAATTTCCATGTCTTTCCACAGGAATTTTAGAATAGCTTTTTTCTTTTTCTTTTTCTTTTTTTTTTTGAGATGGGAGTTTCACTCTTGTTGCCCAGGCTAGAGTGCAATCTCTGCTCACTGCAATCTCTGCCTCCCAGGTTCAAACAATTTTCCTGCCTCAGCCTCCCGAGTAGCTGGGATTACAGGTGCCTGCCACCACACCCGGCTAATTTTTTGTATTTTTGGTTAAGACAGGGTTTCACCATGTTGGCCAGGCTGGTCTCGAACTCCTGACCTCAGGTGATCCACCCACCTCGGTCTTCCAAAGTGCTAGGATTACAAGCGTGAGACACTGCGCCTGGCAGCAAATCCTCGGTAGAATTTTGATAAAAAATGTGTTAAACATTTATATAGATCAATTTGGGGAAATCCAACATCTTTATTATATTACCTTCCAATCCATGAACACAATGTCTCTTCCCTCTCTAGATCTTTTTTCAGTTCTTTCGTCAGCATTTTTTAGTGTTCATTATATAAATATTTACATCTTTTGTTAGATTTATACCTGAATAACTTTTTTGAGCAATTGTAACTGATACACATTTTTAATTTCTGCTTCTACATGTTCATGGCTAGTACAGTTAGCCCTCTGTATCTGTGGGTTATACATTCACGGATTTAACCAACCTTGGATTGAAGATATTCAGAAAATAAAACTGCATATGTACTGAACATTTACATACTTATCTTGTCATTATTCGCTCAACAATACAGTACAGTCACTATTTAAACGGCATTTATATCGTATTAGGTATCATAAGTCATCTAGAGATGACTTAAATTATACAGGAAGATGTGTGTAGATTATATACAATTACCGTGCCACTTTATGTCAGGGATGTGAGCATTCCCAGATTTTGGCATCACAGGAGGTTCTGGAAACAATCCTCCATGGATACCGAGGGACTACTGCAAACAATTGATGTTTGTGTCTTGCAGTTTTTTTTTTTTTTTTGAGACGGAGTCTTGTTCTGTCGTGCAGGCTGGAGTGCAATGGCACGATCTTGGCTCACTGCAACCTCCGCCTCCCGGGCTCAAGCGATTCTCCTGCCTCAGCCTCCAGAGTAGCTAGGATTACAGGCATCCACCACATCCAGCTAATTTTTTGTATTTTTAGTAGAGACAGGGTTTCACCATGTTAGGCTGGTCTCGAACTCCTGACCACAAGTGATCTGCCTGCCTTGGCTTCCCAAAGTGCTGGGATTACAGGTGTGAGCAACCACACCCAGTCTGTATCTTGTAGTATTGCTGAACTCACTTATTAGTTCTAGGAGGTTTTTTTGTAGACTCCTTGGGATATTCATGTGGACAGTCATATCATCTGCAAACAGGGACAGTTTTATTTATTGCTTTCCAATCTGTATTCCTTTTCTTTTCTTTCTTCTCTTTCTTTTTCTTTTTTTGTCATATTGCACTGGTTATTTCCAGCTCCATGTTGAATACATACTTTACTTTTAAAATAGAATTTTTAAAATCTTTTCTTTCTTTTACAAGTTACAAAATACTTTTCCTCCTAAACCATCTTCAGCATTTTAAAAATATATCTGTTAGGCCGGACATGGTGGCTCATCCCTGTAATCCCAGCACTTTGGGAAACTGAGGCAAGCAGATCACCTGAGGTCAGGAGTTTGAGACCAGCCTGGCCAACATGGTGAAACCCTGTCTCTACAAAAAATGGTGGTGGATGCCTGTAATCCCAGCTACTTAGGAGGCTGAGACATGAGAATTGCTTGAACCTGTGAGGCAGAAGTTGCAGCAAGCCAAGATCGTGCCATTGTACTCCAGCCTGAGCAACAAGAGCAAAACTTTGTCTCAAAAATAAATAAATAGGCCAGGTATGGTGGCTCACGCCTGTAATCCCAGTACTTTGGGAGGCCAAGGCGGGAAGATTACTTGAGGTCTGGAGTTTGAGGCCAGTCTGACCAACATGGTGAAACCCCATCTCTACTAAAAATACAAAAATTAGCCAGCCGTGGTGGCGTGCACCTGTAATCCCAGCTGCTCGGGAGGCTGCGGCAGGAGAACTGCTTGAACCTAGGAGGCCAAGGTTGCAGTGAGTCAATATCACGCCACTGCACTTCAGCCTGGGAGATGGAATGAGACTCCGTCTCAAAAAAGAAAAATAAATTAAAATAAAAAAAACAGTTTATATTTACTGAGCATGTACTCTGTGCACACCTCTATGCTGACAGCTGAAGGATGGAGGTGAATGATCTCCTTCGTTTTGAAACAGCTCTTATTCCAGAAAGAGAAACAGACAGGAAAGCCCATAATAGCCCTCCTGGGAAATACCAGGACCCCAGACGGTGAGTACAGGCTCTAGGTAGATGCATGATGACTGCTCAAAGCAGCCCGTGCTCCCTCCTCTCCCCCTTCCTGGTGGGTTGGGCAAGGGGTGGTGGGAAGATGGACAAGGGCCTGCTGAATGACCTGGCTATTCCTCCCGCCTCTACTGGGAACAGCTCTTCCACAAGAGCACAATGGATTCCATGGTCTTGCAAGCCCAAAGCCTTATTTGTTTGGGGTACTTCAAGTAGTATAATTTTAAAAAAAGAATAGAGGAAAACTCAGTTCCGTCTTGGGGGATTTTTAAGTCCTTCAGCTGAGTAGGGCAAGAGATAGAAATATGTAGTGAAGGTCTCGTGTCTAAATCAGGCAGCTGGCAGAAGCTGAGCTATTGCCGTCCCTCACGGTGCTGAGTCAAAAATACCTCTGTGCTTAGAAGGCTAGAAAAACCAGATTAATTCCCGGTGCAGACGGGACGATGGGCCCAGGGCTGCGTGCACGTGTGCCTGCGCTCTCCTGCCCTGCTCCAGGCAGACACGGTCTGTCCCCAGTGCTCTCTGGGGTCTCGCTTCCTATGGCTGGTGCCAGTCAGAAGAAAGACGAGTGTGGACTTGGATGTCTGGGCTCTCTGTTTCTCCACAGAAATGTGTACCAGGGTTCTAAGGCTCCAAGGTAAGCCTTGGAACTCCATTTTTGCAGAAGTTACGATTGCTGCCCTGAGAAGAAAATATTCCTGACATGTTCAGCCCATGGAATTCACCCATTTATTCACTCTTAATCGAACAGCCTTGCTGTAAATTCACGGAGCTTCCCACTCTGATGTGTCCCACAAGCATGGTGTGGTGGGAAAGCCTTCATGTATTTTTTTTTTTTTTTTTTTTGTGGAGATGCAATCCCCCTCTGTTGCCCAGGCTGGAGTGCAGTGGCATGATCCCAGCTCACTGCAACCTCTGCTTCCCAGGTTCAAGTGATTCTCCTGCTCAGCCTCTCAAGTAGCTGGGATTACAGGCACGTGCCACCATGCCCACCTAATTTTGTATTTTTAGTAGAGATGGAGTTTCACCTTGTTGGCCAGGCTGGTCTCGAACTCCTGACCTCAGGTGATTCACCTGCCTCAGCCTCCTAAAGTGCTGGGATTACAGGCGTGAGCCACCACACCCGGCCAGCTTTCACGTATTCTGATGGGCTGGGGGAGACAGTGAAACCAGTGAGCCAGGAGTCCTGAGGCCACCAGGCAAACTCAGTTTCTTCGCCTTGGTGTCACCCTCAGTCACTAGACGGTTTCACTTTCTCTGTGACTGTTCAGTGATTTCCATTCAAAGGGTTACTCTCTGTTGTCCCCAAGAAACCTCAAAGCTTAGTGTGGCTGTCCTCTATATGTATCATGTCCATGCCTGCAGTTTGTGCTTCTTACCAGCCTCCTCCTTCTGCGTCCCAGGTCCTTGCTGTCCTTCTGGGGTTAGATGTCAGTTGTTTATTTGCTCACACTGTTGCCCCATCGCGTCTGCACATCAAGGACTCCTACCAACAGTGAGGGTGAACAAAACAGTCTTGTTCTCATTTGTTTTTCCTTCTCCGAACTTAAACTCACTATATTAAGAGAGTCCTTGTAACAGGTGTAAGGCATTAATTCTTGGAATGTACCTCATTGACCTCAGAGAAGGCTCCGAATGGAAGGCATGGCTGAGACCAGCTCTTTCCTCCCCCTGCTGCATGCTAGGAACCAGGAGTCCAGGAGCACAGCAAGCCCTGAGCTGCCAAACAGTTTAGGGACAGTGACAGTTTTCAGCATTATTGGGAGTAGGCCCAGAACTGCCAAAGTTTCAACCAAGCCAGAAGGAGCTGTTCCTGGCATATTGCCAGAAGAGCCAGATGCAATCTTCTCACTCTGGTCACACCTTGAGGTGATGGCTGTGCCCTGATTTCCCTATTCTTGCTCAGGCCACACCCACTCTTCTCAACACTGGGCCAAGGAGTCTACAGCTCCATTTCCCAGATACTCTTGCCACCTGAGCTCCTTTTAGATTCCACCAGTGGGAGGTACTGGGGAAAGACCAGACGGTGGAAGGAGAAAAAAAGGACATCTCTTCCCGATTTCAATGATGGCACCACTCCAGCAAGTGCAGGACGTTCCAGCTCCATTCCTCGGGCTCTTCCGCACTGGCCCAAGTTCCCAGGCGCCAGTAATGCCAATTCTTCCTTTTTGTTCTCCCAGCCCTAAGGGTGCTAGCTGCTTCCTACAGTTGCTCCTTTTTGGGTTATCTCAACATCTGCTTCATTCTTTTAGACTTCTAACCACGTGACCAAAAATCTGCTTTTGTTTGAAATGCCTAATGCGGTTTCTTTTTCCGGGACCCTAACTGATACGGTACTTGGAATAAGAATTAGAGTTTATTTATCACCTTCTGGAACACATGCGGTTTTCTTTTGTTGTTTTTTTTTTTCTTGAGGTGGAGTCTTGTGCTGTTGCCAGGCTGGAGCGCAGTGGCGCGATCTCGGCTCACTGCTATCCCCACTTCCCATGTTCAAGTGATTCTCCTGCCTCAGCCTCCTGAGTAGCTGGGATTACAGGTGCGCACCACCACACCCAACTAATTTTTGTATTTTTAGTAGAGACGGGGTTTCACCATGTTGGCCAGGATGGTCTTGATCTCCTGACCTGGTGATCTGCCTGCCTCAGCCTCCCAAAGTGCTGGGATTACAGGCGTGAGCCACCACGCCCGGCCACACGTGTGATTTTCTAATGAATCTAAGGTACTTACCATTTCCTGCTCATTGGGCCCATTCAACAACATGGCACCAATGTAATCAATCAATGTGATGTTCTGTAGGATGTCAGGAGGTTTAAAGTCTCTGCAGGTAAAAGGTGCATTGCTATCTCTGAAATAACTCCTTCTTGACTAGACCCTGGTGGATACAACAAGCATCTTTATTGATTTACTTATTTTTATAGAGATATTGTCTCACCGTTTCCCAGGCTAGTCTCAAACTCCTGGCCTCAAGCAATCCTCCCATCTCAAACTCCCACACTTCAAAGGTATGATCAGTACTTACCTGATTAAAAGAAACGTTTGTATATACTGATGTCTACATGGGTTGAATACTTCAGAGGTATAGAGTTATTTAAATTACTCTATACCTCTGAAATACCTCCAATGTTTTGTTAAGCCATATTACTCTGAGAAGGTTTTTTGTTTGTTTGTTTGTTTGTTTGTTTTGAGATGGAGTCTTGCTCTGTCGCCCAGGCTGGAGTGTGATGGTGTGGTGTCAACTCACTGCAACCTCCACCTCTTGGGTTCAAGTGATTCTGCTGCCTCAGCCTCCCGAGTAGCTGGGACTACAGGCACGTGCCACCACACCCAGCTATTTTTTTTTTTTTTAATTTTTAGTAGAGATGGGTTTCACCATGTTAGCCAGGGTGGTCTCAATCTCCTGACCTCGTGATCCACCCACCTCGGCATCCCAAAGTGCTAAGATTACAGGGGTGAGCTACTGTGCCCAGCCTCAGCCCAATATCTTTAATTATGGAAATCTGAGAGTGAGCTGCTACATTTAGTGTGCACGAAGGAACTGTATCTTTCCTACCTTCCGTTCAATGTGCATTGAATGGCACAGTATTCTGTGCATCAAAGAAAAAGAACTAACTATAGTTGCACATAAGCAAAGGGATGAATTTCCTAGACATAATGTTGAACAAAAGAAACCAGGCACAGGCTGGACTCAGTGGCTCATGCCTGTAATCCCAGCACTTTGGAAGATCAAGACAGGCAGACCCACCTGAGGTCAGGAGTTCAAGACCAGCCTGACCAACATGGAGAAACCCTGTCTCTACTAAAAATACAAAATTAGCCAGGCATGGTGGCGCATGCCTGTAATTTCAGCTACTCGGGAGGCTGAGGCAAAAGGACCACTTGGACCCAGGAGGCAGAGGTTGCAGTGAGCCAAGATCATGCCATTGCACTCCAGCCTGGGCAACAAGAGCAAACTCTGTTTAAAAAAAAAAAAAAAGAAAGAAAGAAAGAAAGAAAGAAACCAGACACATGAGTATAAGACAGTATGAGTCTATCTGCATGTCCATGAATTCAAGAGCAGGCAAAACTATAAAAGTCAGAATGACGGTTATCTTTTGAGGGGGGATTAGGAACTGGGAGAAGGCAGGAGAGCCTTCTGAGATGCTAGAAATATTCCACATCTTAAATTGGATGGCGGTTACATGGATGGATACTAATCTAAGAATCGGTCAAGCTGTGTACACTTGAGATGTGTGAATTCTAAACATGTATGTCCTATCTCAATAAAAAAGCAATATAAAATGCCTGGTTACAGAGTAGCCATTTAGAGAGTATCTGTAGAATAAATGAATATGTGACTTGAGCTCTCCCACTCTGTTTCATTTATTTCATCGGTAGTACTAGAAGTTTAGAACTTTTTTAATGTTAAATTCTGTACCCAAGTGACATACAAAGTTTAAAACACATCTTCTCAGGCTGGGCACAGTGGCTAATGCCTGCAATCCCAACACTTTGGGAGGCCAAGGTGGGAGGATTGTTTAAGCCCAGGAGTTTGGAGACCAGTCTGGGCAACATAAGGAAACCCAATTTTCTAAAGAAATACAAAAATTAGCTGGGTGTGGTCCTGTATACATGTGATCTCAGCTATCTGGGAGGCTGAGACAGGAGGATTGCTTGAGCAAGGGAGGTCAAGGCTGCAGTGAGCTATGGTTGTGCTGCCGCTGTACTCCAGCCTGGGCAACAGAGCAAAACCCTGTCTAAAAAAAAAAAAAAAAAAAAAAAATGCCAGGTACAGTGGCTCATGCCTGTAATCCCAGCACGTTAGGAGGCCAAGGCAGGCAGATCACGAGGTCAGGAGATCAAGACCATCCTAGCTAACATGGTGAAACCCATCTCTAATAAAAATACAAAAAAAAAAAAAAAATAGCTGGTACGGTGGCACACACCTGTAGTCCCAGCTGCTGGGGAGGTTGACGCAAAAGAATCGCTTGAACCTGGGAGGCAGAGGTTGCAGTGAGCCGAGATCGCGCCATTGCACTCCAGCCTGGACAATAGAGCGAGACTCCATCTTAAAAAAAAAAAGAAGAAAACCTTCTCAGAGTAATATGGCTTAACAAACAAAACACTGCAGGGTTTATTTGTTTATTTAAACTACTTTATACCTCTGAAAGATTCAACCTATGTAGATATCTGTATATACAAAGATTTCTTTTAATCAGATAAATACTGATCATACCTTTGAAGTGCCCAAGTGGACAAAGTGGTGGAGGACACACAGGAGACAGGTGCCATTTCTGGAGTCTCTCAGGGCCTGCCTTTTGTGGAAGGGAGAGCAGAGATGCAGACCAAGGCCAGGCTTACTTCAAGTTGAGAAATGGGACAAATGGGACAGATAAAATCTACATCACCCACCAAGATCCCATGTGAAACCTTATTTCTTCCTATTGGCTAGCAAATGCCTTTAGCTTATCATTGATTGCTCACACAAGGAACAAATCCAGAAGAATGTATATGCCCAGTATGCAGGCTACCTCATGCGGATCTCAACATTCTAATGTTCACAAAGTTCAGTTACTGAGCATTTCTGCCATGCCAATATGATAAGGTTCATAATGTATAGACTTATTGATATTTAAATCTGATAACATCCCTATGAGGCAGGAATGCTATAATCCCCATTTTACAGATGATAAACCTGAGTCACTGACGTCACTTGTTCTCAGGTATTCACCATCAGGGCTGGAATTTGAAGCCATGCAGGTTGATTCCGCAGTGGAGTCTCTTAACCATTACTACATATTCTTAACCATTCAAGATAGGAAATGATAAAAGCTTTACATAAGGGAGGCAAACAGTTCATTTTGGGGTATTCTGATGAGTAGTACAGCTATGTCACAGCAGATTGGGGTGACATGTGCGGATCATACAGAGGTCTTGAGCCACCCAGCTCCTTTACAGTTCTCCTGTCCCAAGTATATTATCTGCCTGCTGCTTCTTGGTTTCCTTCTTCATTTATTCAGTCAGGCTACAAATAATATGTATGTCTATTACATACCAGGTTTCTGAATTATGTACAGGAAATGAGAAGATAAGTAAGACACAGCCTCTTTCATATTTATGGCAAAAACTACCCTCATTTCAGTTTCTTCCTCCTGTTTGTAATTTCATTGTTTATTTTTCCATCAGTTCAGACTGTTGCTTGCTGATGTGAGGTGACCTCAAAGTGACTTTCTGAAAAGTTCTGACCCTTTGCCTTTCAAAAACATTTAAGAACAGCAACAACATCTGGATAGTCTCAGTAAAATGCCTTTTCAACAGCTCAAAGCAAGGCTTGTTTTTGTTTTAATTTGAGAATGTTTCAAGTGAAACTTAGTTCCATCATTTAGTTCCTGGCAGCCCAATAACCAGGGAGCAATAACTCCCTTATCTGTGGGCTGTTTAATGACTACATAGTACCACCCTGGGAGCAATAGACTAGGGCCTTCTTCCAGATGCCATGTTTTAAGGCTTTCAGCTGGAAAGACTTTCACTCCGTAAAATTTATTTTGATTATTTTAAGTCAGGATTTGGCCTTCTTATTCGGAAAAAAAAAATCGGCCTCTGGCTTTCTGCCTCCTGCACTTCTGGCTCTAGGCCACATGATCATCTAATTTCTAGTTTTTCAGGCAGACAGAGAAGGTTAGAAACTGGCAACCGTGGCCTCAACAGCAGATAAGCAGTTCAAGTCTGTGACAGGAATTAAGAAGACTGCCATAGAAAAATTTTTTAAAAGTCACCTCCTGTTCCACGAAGCATAGCTGTCTCTTCCTTCCTGTCCTCCTTGCCCATTCTCTTTGAGAAGTCCAGGTCCTAGAAGCACCAGACACTCAGTTGACTCGGGTTTTGCTGCCTATAGGTAATTATGCTAAAAGTCTGCAGTAGAAGATCTTATTATGCTCGCATAATTATGCATTCTAGAGCAGAAGGTTTTTGCTGGAAAGCTTCACTGTTAGATATGATTTGCATTTTTTACTAGATACTTGTCTTTGGTCCTTGAGGACAAACATATTAAGTATTCCTTTGTGCATCAACAGAAAAGCAAAACACAAAACAGCCTGTATGTGGGCTTGAGGCCGTCTTGTTACACAAGAAAGACACTGCTCTAGAACAGGGCTCACCTTTGCTTCAGGGACTAAGTTTATTTTGGAGCCTTAAGAGTAAGGGAGTAGGTCAGAAACGACTTTTAGTGTAACCCATCTGTAATTTAAAATGCTGTCATAAGACCAAGTCTTATCAAAAATCAGTATTTAAGTTAAATTTACCCCCAAATTTCTTTCAAAAACATTTTGTAATGTTCTTTTTGAGAGAAACCTTTGCCCTGCTAGAGGTGAAGATGTGCTTAATCGGCCTGTTGAGTAATCCTGCAAAGTGGGTAATCCGCCGAAGGCACCTCTAGCTGGGGGCTCGGGAGAGAAAGACGCAGCTGGGCCCCTGCCGCCCCTGGCGCCGGTGGGCGAGCCCGTTCCCGGTGCATCAGGAGGCAGGCCCGGCCAGGGGCCAGCGGCCGGCACTCAGCCCCGCGCATCTCCCCGAGGGCGGGGCCGGGCCGGGCTGTCATCGGCTCGATTTAAGGATGGTCTGAGCTGCCCCTTTCAAGCTGCTCTCGAAGGCTTCGGCCGGTCAGGCGAGGCGAGGCGAAGCGGCGTGAGCGAGGGTGCTTAGGGAGAACAGCCGTAGGCAGCTCGATGCTGGGTGGCTAACGCGCGACTGGGCCCAGCAGCACCCCGGCGGACAACTCGACCCGTATCCCGAGCTGCGTGGCGGACAAAGCCGCGCGCCTGGCCCGGACTACGACTCCCGGAGGGCTCTGCGACCGCTCCGGGGCGGCCCAGCGCGCACTGCGCTGGCAAGCTTGACAGCCAGGTGCCCTGCTCGGCCAACTCTGCGCCCCGCCAGGGACGCTGGCCTCCTCGCTGTCTTCCCGGTGTCTCTTTATTCCAACTGCCTGAAACTCGGCCCCACGAATGGCAGGCAGCGTCCAACATTCAACCCCGTAGAGCCAGCGCCAGCCAATAAAGAGCATGGATGGAGGCCACATGACAGCAGTGGGCCGGCGCTCCGGCTGAGCCCTGATCTCTATGGTTTCCGTGGCTCGCTAGAAGGAGTGTGGTCCACTGGAGGACTCCCTACATTCTTCCTCCATTACCTCACTGCCTCCGGTGGCTGCTGGGATACCGGAGGACTCGGGTCCCGGCTCGACTCAGTCCTCCAGCCGCCCGGGGAATACCTCTAGTTCTTCCCGGCCGCCGCCGCCCCGCCGCTTCCTCCTCCGCCCGCCGGCCTCCTTCGCCCCGCCCCGTCCGCGCCGCGCGTCCGGCCAGCCTGCGGGCCCGCTTCTCTCCGGAGCCCCCACCCAGGCGCATGGCTCCATGAAGCAGGAGGAGGAGGCAGAGCACGAGAGGTCCCGTCCGCCCCAGCCGCGTCTGGGCCAGGAGAAAAGGTGGGAAACTCGGGCTGCGCCGCGCCCTCCGCCTCCCCGCTGCCGGGCCGGGCCTCCCTGGGGCCGCCACCGCTGGGCCCGTCTGGCCTGTTCTCGCTGGGGCGGGCGGCAGGGCCGGGAGGGAACCCCGCGGTCCTGGGGCGAGGGTCCCGGGGCAGTGTCGGGGAAGGGTCCCGGGTGGCGGGCGGGGCCTCGGGTCGTGTCCGGGCGGAGAGCAGGGGGTCGGGAGGCACTGCCGGGGAGGGGCGGGCGGCGCCGTACCCCGGGCCGCGAGGCTCGGCTCCCGCTCCTGCTCCTTGTCTGCACTCCCTCCAGGAAGCAGGCTCGCTCGTTGTAAAGTTTGGTGGTCTCCGGCGCCGCCTGGTGGCCCCCACCCACCGTCCCGCCGCCCCCTCCCCCGCCCGGCGTCTGGATTCCACCCCCGCGGCTCGGCCCAAGCTGCTCTACCCGTCGCTCCATCCTCTCCCCAACTCCCCAGCGCCCCGGACCCTCCTTCCTCACACCCTCGTTTCTCACCTTTCACCCTCTCCCTCGTCCTGCTTTTCCCCTCCCCGCTCTGGCCTGTCCTCTTCACAAGCGCGCTTCCTCCGCCTCCTCCTCTTTTTCCCACCCCTACCCTTGGGCCCTCCTTCCTTAACCTCCGCTGGCCCCCAGTTCCGTGATCCGTCCACCTGATACTCTGGGTTTCATTCCTCTCTCTTTCCCAGGCTGTGGGTTTTGCCCTTCACTCCTTGCCCTCCTCCATTCCCTGTCCTGATCTGAACTCCTCTCCTTGCCACGCTCCCTCACCCTTATCCCTCTGGGCCTTATCCTCTTTCACTGCCCTCTCCTAGGATAGAGTGGGTGGGGCCTCTCCCACCCACAGGAGATGTAAACAGTCGCCTGTTTACTTACATCTTTGGGAGCAGCTCAATTCTCTAGTAGTGGGGAGAGTTGGTGAAGAGATCAGGAAGAGATTTCTTCGATTCTAAGAGTAAGGATGGATGACTCTTAGCAACAATGATCTTTTCCTCCTGCATAGCAAGATGGCCTGCCCTCAGGTCCCTGCCTCTGGCATGCTGTCCAGTAATTCTTCAGTGCTGTCTGTGCAGAGGATTGGGAAATTGGTTTGTGTTCTGAAACCGGCGGAGAACCTTTAAATGGTCTCTCCTGGCCAGAGAGCAACTTTTCCTCTGCATCGGTGGTGGGGAAGTTTTAATGTGCGTCTCATGCTCAAGTTCAATAAATAATACCTTTGATTCTCAGTGTCCTCCCTTCTTGCTGATGACGCTAAGGATGAGATGATTCAGGGAATGGGACTACACTCCTGCCTCAGATTTAGAGTTTGAAAGGTTTGGAAATAAGGAGAATCTGTTCTCTAGCTGTATGTGTCACCTCCTTCCCCCCCCTCACGAAATTGCTCTGTCGAGTTGTGGTTTTTCAGAAACCATATCTTACCTCTGCACTTACCTCTGGGTGTGTGTTCACAGCACCTGCATTTCCGTCTTAGGTACAGGAAGAAGGAATGGAATCGGAAGGAAGAAAATTCATTCCAGAGACAAAATAGCTCCCCTCCTCTGTTGTAGCTGTTCCTCTGGCAATACAAACTTTCTGCTTTCAGTGAGTATTATCTTGGACATATTTAGAATAGAGCTTCATTGTTGTTTTTGGCTTTAGGACTTTGAGATGTCGGTGTATTTTGTTCATTTGTATTTTTCTTCCATGAGGGGGGTCCTAATGTTGTTGAAGTTTTTCCACTTGTTCTCTTTTAAAATAATTTAAATATGCAAAGACAAGTTTGTTTTCCATACTCCCATTAGAGTGAGCTAGCTGGGTGCTGCTGTGGCATGATCTTTCCTTTATATTTCTGGCCCCCCACCCTTCCCAAATTCTCAATACAGCCAAAGAGATTGTCTTAACTTTTAGGGTAATTAAGTCAGAGATTAATGCAGTTCCTGATCAAAGTCAATGATTGGTTCTCTTTTCTATAGTTTCAGTCCTCAGAGACTTTTGGAACATTTTGTCCTAAATTTGCCATAGTGATGATATTTTCTTGAAAATCCTGTCACAGATTTGAAAATAATTAAAATTTTACACGGTAAACTTTAAACAAAGTTCTGGGGTAAAAATTATGACTACTGTGTCCCCTTGAGTTGGCTAATGATAGCATGCTGACACTTGGGAGAGAGTTTTCAGAGTGCTTCACTTCTCTGTGGAGTTTCCCAGCTCCTCTGATGGATGCAGGGGATAAATGTTTTTATTTTACAAATGAAAGAACTGAGGCCCAGAAAAATCTGGCCACTTGCTACAGGTCACATAGAAAAGGGAGGGGATGTGAGAAACAAAAGTTTCCACTGGTAGATACGTGTTTTTCTTTAAGCTAAGTTGAAATGAAAATGTATAGTTCTGGCTAGGTGTGGTAGCTCACGCCTGTTATCTCAGCACTTTGGGAAGCCGAGGCAGGTTGATCACGAGGTCTAGAGATCGAAACCATCCTGGCCAACATCGTGAAACCCCGTCTTTACTAAAAATACAAAAATTAGCTGGACATGGTGGCATGCGCCTGTAGCCCCAGCTACTCGGGAGGCTAAGAAAAGAGAATGCATAGTTCTGCATGTTTTTAAAAATCTGTAAAGCCGAAAAGCCGTTGTTGCCAGGCATGGTGGCTTGCATCTGTAGCCCCAGCAACTTGAGAAGCTGAGGCAGGAGGATTGCTTGAGCCCTGTAAATAGCCACTTCAGCCTGGGCAACATAGCAAGTCTCCATCTCTTTAAAAGAGAAAAAGTCTGGGCTCAGTCGCTCATGCCTGTAAATCCCAACACAGGGAAGCCAAGGCAGGAGGATTGCTTGAAGCCAGAAGTGAACAAACCAACTTGGTCTCATACTGACACCTGTCTCTACAAAAGGAAAAATTAAAAAAAAATTGGCCGTGTGGTGGTTGTAGTGTGTGGTGGCTGTAGTCCCAGGCTGCAGTCCCAGCTACCTGGGAGACTGAGGCAGGAAGATCCCTGGAACACAGAACTAGAAGGCTGCAGTGAACAGCGATAGCACCACTGCACTCCAGCCTGGACAACTGAGGGAGAGGAGACCCTATTTCCAAAACAAAACAAAAAGGAACAATTATATAGGTAGGTCTGTGATTTGTGGGGAAATTTTTCGCACACCAACTGTTTTGGATGTGTGTATAATGGGATTTCAAAAATAAAGAAATGATTATTTGGTATGGTTACCAGAATGTATGTGGGTTTTTCTGACTGTTTCCTGGAATAGTTCCATAAGTAGGACAGAATTATAGCTCAGGTGCCATTTCAGTACCCATAATATAATTATTAAATTGAATTTCAACTCAACTCTGTCACAAAGGAAACAACTGCTTATTCCCTTCTGTGGAAAGCTTGATTTGAGCAAACGTCTAAATGCTAAATGATAACAAAAGAAAATACAGAGACCCCCTTTTTCTTGGCCTCTTTCCCACCTCCCAAATCTTTATCAGGTCGTGCCCTCGAATAAGCTGTTTTGAGACTTGTCTTCAAAATGTGAATCTAGATTTTTCCCCCCACCTTTAGGCTTTCCTAGATATTTTAATCTGGTGGTTGTTTCACACTTACTACTTTGACAACAGTTTTATTGGTATTCAATATGTATCAAGATGTCTACAATAATAGCACATTTAGCAAGTTTAGTCTCTTTCTAGTGTATGTTTAGAAGCTTAAATGAGGACTCTAGTGGAATAAAACTGTACAACTCTCAAGACAGCCAAGTGTTTTTCTCTGTGTTTTCTGGCATCTCAGGATGAAAAGAAACAGTAGATAAGATTTATTAGAAGCTGTTGCTCTCCAAAGAGGTCATGAGAGTAGTAATCCCGTGTTAATAATGTGCTCTTTTAGATTACAAGGTCATTCTTAATGAAATTGTATTATGAGGGCATTTATTTCTCTAGAAATTGTAAGCATTCAGAACTGTGTTATTTTTATAACCAACGTTACTTTTATCAGTGGGGTAGGGTAGTATTGGTAACAGCGTACACTTAATAGATAGCAGTTATATGCCACAGAGCTGCCAGGTGCTTTTCATGTCTTTCACAGCTCACAAATAAACCTCTGTGGTAGCAGGACCCCAAGTCCACGGAGATGTGAAAACTTGCCTGAGTTGCATAGCTAGTACATGGCGAATGAGATTTGGGATCAGAGATGAGACTGTAACCTCAAAATCTAGGCTCTGTATCCTGAAGAGGGGAGCTGCTCTAGGAAATTGCGAGCTTGTTTTCGGTGGACTTAGTAGCCTTGGAAGGGACCCACAGTGAGAGAGGAAGGTCCTTTTGCCCAGCCAGACACATGAGTGAGGGCATCATCACATCTTCGTGTCAATAGCAGCCTCAGTACCTGGTTGGTAAATATTAGCTGTGTGGGAGAAATAGTTTGTATTAATCCCTGAAACCACAAGTGGCCACCCAGGCAAATAAGCTCTCTAGTGGGTAATTCTGAAAGTGCTCCATCATTCAAAAAGGAAAAAATAATTCTTCCCAACTGCAGTTTAGATTGTCTGACCTATCAAAGGAAAGCTTTGAACCACCTAGAAGTGGTACCCGAAGCCAGTTCCAGAACTGACAGCTGGTATGTTTTAGCAAAGACGATAGCTACCAGCATACATTGGACCAAGAAGTGAATTTGGGTGATAATTGACTTAATTTTTAAAATGAATTATCCACAGTGGCTATCCATTTTGCTATGAATAATTATTAAACTATCCCAAAAGAAAAAAAAAATCCCTTGGTTGAGCTAAGTAGAATGGAGATTGTTGATAAGAATAGGTACTTGTAATTCAGTCATCCCCAGGTTCTGCAGTACTCCACTGTTAGCGGGCATACTTAAATAAAATTACTAGATGTGTAGATAAGATTGTTGGTGACAGGCAGCAGTGTGTGTGTGTGTGTGTGTGTGTGTGTGTACTATATGTAGGGCACATGTTAGCTGCCGTGAAAGATGAAACAGATGCCCCACGGCCTCTCAGGCTCAGGGTGATGCTGAGTTCAGTGCAGGCTGAAATTTTTAAGTTGTAAGCTGCCCCAAATAGCAGGCCAGTGCTCAGTGTCCCCACAGAGAAGGAGGAAGAGTTACTCAGGGGCCCTCGTTGCGGGCCCTAATGAAGTTCAGGGTCCCCTTGAGTGTTGTACATCAGGTGGAGAGGAGAGAACCTCCTGCAAGCACAGGGCAGGTGAGGACACCGCAGCATAACTGAGGAAGACTGGTGACTTTAAGCACTAATGGCACATTTTATTTGGCACCTGCAAGGTTAAGGGGTCTGAAGAGGTAAAACAGTGGTTCCTGTAATTTTGCTTGCTTTTTGTTGAAGTATGAGTATTGTTTCCATCTGGTGGAAGCCTAGTTTTAAAGAGCTTATTTTTATTGGTGGTCGCAATGGATGAACAGGAAGAAAGGGGGATTACTACTGCAGACTCTCACCATAGCCCTTGACCTGAGCTTTGTACAAGTAACCAGCTGAAGGCCTGGAAGTGTCTTGGTTGTATATACACCTAATTTCAAACTTTGTCTTTTTCCTTCCCTTTTTGTAGAGAATGGGGTCTTGTTACGTTGCCCAGGCAGGTCTCAAACTCCTGGGCTCAAGCTGTCCACCCACCTCTGCCTCCCTAAGTGTAGAGATTACAGACATGAGTTTCTGCGCCTGGCTCCTCTTTATTTTGGATGAACCAGATTCACTGTAATTTGTACAATACTCACAGTACCCAGTACCATCCTTGGTAGTTTTATGAGGTTTGGCAGGGAAGTTTGGTGGACACAGATTTAGAAGAAGCAGAGTTTGTCATTAAGTGGAGCATTTGATTTTAGCTGGTCAGATGGATAGTTAGTATGAGCTATTAGAATGCTATTATTCTGAAGTGTCTTACCCTGTACTCACAAAGCCGGGCTGCTGGAGGACCAGGTGTCTCTTGATCCTTGCAGGGCAGTACTGAGAG